TTTTTTTCACTATTATGTCATCTTTTTAAATGATTACATCATCCTTTCATTTAATAAAGTCACAGTCTTTTAAAATATTGTTGGGAATGATTGATGAGTCATGAAAAAATAGCAAAGTGTTTCAAAAACGTAGGAAAAAATAAAAACACTAAAATCTCATAATGCATCTTGGTAGTGGGCCACTACCAATTTGGTTCCGACTCATGGCAGCCCTGAATAGGGTTTCTGAGGCTATCAATCTTTAAGGCAGCAGAAAGTCTAATCTTTCTCCTGCATAGTATATATTAGACTTATGAAAAAGACCCAGTGGTAGCACGTGGAAATTACAAGGTAGAATAAGGTTTGAAATATCTAAAAACAAAAAGTAAAATTGTCTCTGTTTTACATAAGACCTCTAGTAAGAACAAGGAGTCTTGGTGTGGCACTGCACGTTACTGTGCTGGACTGCAAAGTTGGTTTGAGTGGCAAGGTCAGTGGTTCAAGCTCACAACATGCTTCTAGTAAACCCTATACAGGGTTGCTATGAGTTGGAATTGACTCAGTGGCACTTAACAACAATAGTAAGAATAAAACTCATGAAATATTAATCTTTTCAAATAGTTAAAAAACAGCACACACAAAAAGAAACTCAAAACTAAAATTAGATTTTATGGATCCTAAGTCTTGGTGTGGCACTATAGGATAAGTACTTGATGGCAAGGTTGGGTTGAACTGCAAGGTTGGTGGTTCCAACTTACAAGCCAATACTCAGAAACCCTATACAGTGTTTCTATATGTTGGAACTGAATCGTTGGCACTTAACAACAACAACAACAAAGGTCAGTTTGAACCGCAATGTTGGCTCGTCAAACTCACCAGCTGCTCCTTGCAAACCCTATATAGGGTTGCTATGATTCAAAATCAACTTAAGGGCAGTTAACAACAACAACAACAACAACAAAGGGTATATATGAGTTCTGGTATGGTATTGTAGGGGTAAGCATTGGACCAGAGATGGTTCCAACCTACCTGCTGCTCCTAGGAAACCCTATACAGGGTTGCTTTGAGTTGGAACTGACTTGATAGCACTTAATAACAATAATGGTTACAGTAGTTCTGATATGACATGGGACTGGTAACCGCAAGGGTAAGCATGGGACTGGTACCCGCAAGGTTGGGAGTTCAGACCTACCAACCACTCTTGGAAATTCTACACAGGGTCGCTGTGAGTCAGAACTGACTTGAAGGCATGCAACAATAACAATGGTATACAGCGGAGTACAGTGGCTCCAAAAGTTACACATTAGATTGTGAACCCCAAGTCGTTGGTTCTATCCCACCAGCCATTCGGTAGGAAAATGTTTTCTGCTCTGACAACAATTTAAAGCCTCAGAAACCCTATTTAGGGTTGCTATGAGTTGGAACCAACTCAACGGCACTTAACAAGAAGCAGCAACATGGTATATAGAGGACTAACCAAAACAAAATTAAAATGTCTTTACAATATAACTCATATGTAAAATTTCCATTATGAAGACGAACTGCTATCAAAATCTCCAAACTGTTGTTAAAGGAATTTACTTTGTTGAAAAGTCCAGAACCTTATTTGAATTCAACAAAAGTATCTTAGGGAATAACAACAACTATTCTGATATTCAAGCACCAAAGAGAAATTCTGATGTAATACTTAAAAAACATAATAATCACTAGTGATTTTCCTAAAATAACAGTGAATTTTTGTTGAAATTCAGCAACACTAATCACTTTCTAACATTTGAACCTGACATAGTGAGAAATTTTTAATTTCCTCTTTTTGGAGATTCCTGTGCTGAGGGGTCCTCACCAAACAGAATGAAAAGCAGTGAAAAGGAAATAAAGGAAACATAGATTTGGGTTATGAAAGGGAATGTAAGACTTGCTTCACTCCTTTTCTTAGCTGTACCCAAGTAATTTTATTTTTAAAGTACAAAAGAGGACCTGCAGGTAGTAACAGAAAAGGTTCCAAATGAGTAGAGGTGGTTATGCCTCATGACTCATAACAGATTTTAAAAGATTTCTTATTTACAACCATTTTAGAGCAGAATACTTTCATTCAATGATTTCTCTTCTACAAGTATTTCATATTCACTGAAAAAAGTGACCAAATATGCTTTTTAAAGATGACAGCTAAGAGCATTTTCTTATAAATTAGAGATAAGGGCATCTATTCTGAAATGTACAGCATTTAAGAAAATATTGATTGTACAAATAACACAAGTCATAAGACTAAAATACAAAGACTCTAAGTCACCAGCTGCTCCTTGGAAAACTTACACAGGGTCGCTATGGGTTGGAATCAACTCAACGGCACTCAACAACAACAACAATGTAAATAATATCTTTGTTTTTTTTTTTTGTTTTGTTTTTTCTATATAATTACTGTTCCTATATATGAGCTCTGGTAGCGTAGTGGTTATGAATCGGGCTGCAAACCTAAAGGTCAGCAGTTCGAAACTACCAGCTGCTCCACGGGAGAAAGATGAGGCTTTCTGCTCCCGTAAAGATTTACAGCCTCAGAAACCCTGTACAGGGTTGCTATGAGTCGGAACTGACTCTACGGCACATAACAACAACAACAACAACATATATGAAAAAGTATTGTAGACCTACCAAAATAATCACTTATTTGGAGTCAAAGATAATACAACAAAATGTAAGGCAACTAAATAATATGGATAAGACATTCAAATATGTTGTAATATGATTGCAACAATATGAAAGGGCTCCAAAAAGTTCATGAAAAAATGGAATGAAAAGACAGTGGAATTTTTCCATGAATTTCCTGAAGTCTCCTTATATTTCTATATCACTTACTGACGCAGATTTCAACAAGGAAAAAGTTGAATCAAATATAACAGTGTACCAGTTTTTGCAGGGCAGGAAGACCATATGTCAAAATATTAGTAGTAATTGTTTCTACTATAAACTGCTGGGTAAAAAACCTTCAAAGTTCCTGGGATGAAATAAATGGTTTGCTTCTAAGCTATTCACTTATCTTTTGTTAAATATTGGAATAAATGGCTAATCATCTCTCAAAAGTATTTTGAAATATAGTTAAGGAGCTGAATTCTGTACCAAAATTCACTCTGGATAAAGAAAGCAAAGTCTAAGAGAAGAAGCTAGCCTACATGGCTAGTAGCCTACTCATGTTACTACCCTGAGATCAGAAGAACTAAGTGGTACTCAGCTCTACTACCATTCTGATCAAAGTTACAACTGATAGACCCTGATAAAATGGGTGGAAAATGTGGATCAGAGCTCAAATTCTTAAAAAGTCCAGATTTAGTGGACCAATTGAGACTAGAGGACCATTGGCATTATTGCCCTAAAATAATCTTTAAACTTGGAACTGAAAGTATCCCTAGGATCACCTTTTAACAAAATAATAAATTGGCACACAAAATAAAGAACATTATCCACGAGTATGGTGCACCATCAAAAACACAACACAAGCATGTACATGAAACTTGCTCTCTAGGATAGAAATGATAAACTAAATAGAAGAAATGAGGAAGTAAAAGAGCTGAACAGAAAATTTCAAAGGACAACTCAAGAAAACAGAGTCAAGTATTATAATGAAATGTATAAAGACCTGGAAAACTATAAGGGAAGAACACGCTCAGCATTTTTCAAGCTAAAAGAACTAGAGGC